TCTGCAAGCCTACATGTAATATCACAGTAAAATATAATCTCATAGACTCCCAGCAAATACACTATCTACACTACTACTAATTTTTACACACTCAATCATGCCAAATAAAGAAAACATTATTGCTCTGTTCCTCTATCCGCTAGGCTCGGAAATCAGCAACTCCGATTCCGACTCCATCCCTACTTCATCTCCAATCTCTATCTTCCTTCTTCCCGTGGCTCGCTCTGTCACCGTCCTCTTTCTCCTCCTCTCTCTCTTCTTGTTCCTCTCCGCTCCAGCTCTTCTCTCTCTCTCTCTCGAACCTTCTCTTTCCCCCGCTCTCTTCTCTATTTTATTTCTTTCCTTTCCTCTTGTTTTTATTTTCCTTTTTCCTTTATTTTCTTTTTTTTTTCCTCCTTTTTTTTTTCCTTCCCGTCTCCTATTTATACCCCACCTATTTCCCATCCTGCCCGTCTATCTCGCCTCATCCCAACCGTTCACTCCCTCTTCTCCAAACGATGTCGTTTCCTCCTCCTCGTCACCAAACGACACCGTTTCCTCCAAACGACGTCGTTTCCTCCTCATCTTCTCCAAATGACACCGTTTCCCCCTCCTCTTCTCCAAACGGCACCGTTTCACTCTAACTATCTCTATATACACATATATACATACATGCCAGAATTTTTTTTTTCCTTACATCTAGTTACTGCAATAACATTATCCACTACATTTTTCGAAAGATAATAAAGATTCATTCATGCATTAAGGCATAGCTAATTTACGATAGATCATAACCAAAATTTTAGTGTTTTATACAAAAAAAAATTAGCACCAAATACGATAACATTAAAACAATAAGTGAAACATTAGTGCCAGATTTAAGTTAAATTATCAAATATTATTAATTATTTATATAATTAATTAAGTATATGCATATGCTTTTTTCTGTCACCAATTGAATTAATTTAACTGTATATACATTATATATATTATGTACTCATGTAAATAACATATGATTTATTTAAGATAAAAAATGTTATGTTAATTTTGAATTCAAAATATTGATTGCCATTTTTTAAAATTATTAATAAATATATTTTTAAAATTTATAACATTAGTTGTAACTATTAATATCACCAAGAGATTTGATTTTTTATTGATCCAGTTAAATTTATACTAAAATTGAGAAAATTAGTTCTTACCCAATTTCATTGCCGGTCAAATTAACTATAATCAATCATAGGAGAAATTCGTCATCGTACAAGAATTAAATAAAATAAAACGAGGACTTGTCGGTTCATTAAATTCTAACCTGCCCACCAAACTGAAGGGATCAAAGAAATTCTCACACACGTCATAGATGTATATATAATGATACAATTTGTCAATGTAGTTTTTTAGTTGGGTTGACCTCCAAATTCTTTTCCAAACAAATATACAATTCCCATATATATATATATATATATATATATATGTATATTATATTGTAATTTACAAAGGTAGGTAAATTTTGTTATGACTTGATTAAGAATTATAATTATCATTTAATGGGTCAGTCCCACGGACTTTTTTCCCATAATCTCTTATAGCAATTTAACATTAATATTAAAAATTATCTTAATGTTAATATTAAAAACTAGCATCAGTTCTTATGAGAAAATACACGTAAGGTTTTTGGTGGACCGAAAAAATATAAAAAATTGAGATTTACCAGCGGCAGAACTCTTCGGTGCGGCTGCTTCTCTGACACAAGTCGCGATTTGGTGTTTGCTCCGGTCAACCTGTAGAGGAAGGAACAGTGGTCACAATGGTGGAAAAATTACATTGAACGCCTCATCGGAAGCAAAAATCGAGAAAACCCGCGGCGGCGCCGCTGGGCTTCGGCGGCGTTTTTCGGCCAATTGACCGGTGGTTTAGCTCCGATTTGGCCACAGGTGGGTTTAGAGTTGAAATTCGAGCCAAAGAAATTTTTTTTTCCTCGTTTGGCGGCCGGAAAGTGCTCCAGTGCGGCGGCGGGTGGCGGCGGTCGGTTCCCTCAGTGGCTGAGCAGTCTTCTCCGGCGAGGGCTCTGGCGACTAGGATTTGGGTTTGGGTGTAGATGAGATTATTTATAACATTCCACTTTTAATTTGAGCCGTCCATCGTGATTTAATCTGTACCGTCCGATCGCGATTAAATCGGAAATAAATCTGGATCGTCCATCATGATGCGATCTGAACTGTCCGTGCGTGATTTAATCTGAGCCGTCTGCACGCGTGCAATCTGGACCGTCCGCACGCACTTTTGATCTGGACCGTCCTTGCGCATGGGGACGGATCTCAGCCGTCCGATCGCCCGCATGCGGATCGCCCACGTGGCCTCCCACGTCAGCGTCTCTGCCATGCGGCGTGTCCTGGTTCGCCGGGGCTGCTGACATGGCGTAATTTTTTTAAATTACGTTTTGACCTCCGATTTTCGATTTTCTTTTTAAAAACACATCCAAAATCTAAATTTTCACCCATTTTTTTTAAAATTATTTTCAAAGATTTGTCTATTATTATTATTATTTTGCTTCCATTAGAAGGAAAAGGTATGGACAAAGTATGTAATGGCATTTGATGTTAAGGAATAAAGACAAGGTCAAACTTCAATGTCATGCACATGAAATATGGGCCAATATAAGGTAGTAGGTTAGGCCGAATTGGGTCCCCCACAAAGAGGCATAATCACTTTAATAATTTCCATCTTTTTCTGGAATATCAATAATTTATTTCTTAATTATATATTTTTATATTTGCTCTTGTTATATGAAATATATATAAATATATGTATATATGTAAAAGATTAAAGAAAAAAACAAGCCCTTCTTATAGCTATATGTTAAAATTAAAGTTCAAAGGTATATACGGATGTGTATTAATTTAAACACTTTTGAAACATATAATAAAAAAAAAACAAAAATTAAAAGTTAAAATACTTAATTCTGTGGGTGATATATAATCAGAGATCACATACGCACGTTTTCACATGTATTATTAATTAATTATTTATTACATATTAGGTATAAATAAAAGAGATACAAACTCGGATTATTTAATCCGATAAATAATTTTGGTGATGTATAATAATTGATTAACATTAATTTTTTTTTTTTTTAAAAAAAGAGGAATCAACCTCATAATTCGTAAATATTTATTCAACAATTTCAGAAAATAATAATTCAAAGAAAAAATAATAATACAAACTCCAATTATTTACAGAATTTTTAAAAATAAACACAAACAAACTTATAAAATATCACAAACAAAAAGAACATCAAAATCAAAAGCAAATTCTTGACTTCCTCATATGTTAAATATCTTCAATGATCAAACGACATCAAAGTACTCACCACCTTCTGAATATGGTGGACAAAGGAAATTTTTTTGCCGTTATACGACACCGTTCCATCATTTCCTGCAAGCAACCTGTACTTATCCTTCCTCGTGAACTTTGTACACTCGAACCCTAACGTAGCTGCTAAGATTCTTTGAATATAATTTGCCACATCGTGGGGGCTCCTTCCCGCTGAGCACGTGGCCTCCTTCGGCAACTGGTTCAAGAACGTCACCTCGTAAACCAATGTGGGATTCATGAAGAAGAAGAAAGGGTCTAAACCTTTCCAACTCCTAGCAGTTGTTGCATGGAAAAGCCCCGGCCTATAGTTCATCGCGACCGGGACAATCCGATCAGTTAATTCTGCAAATAAAGCACTGAATCTCAGTAAAAATGGTTCCCGACATGTTGTCCCTTCAGGACAAACCACTAAATCTCCTTTGACAAGCTCTTTCTTGATTTTTTCTGCATCAACATCTCGTGTTCGGGTTAATCGAATAGTAGGAATTGGTGATAAAATCTCTGATAATCTTGATACTGAATATGTCACAGCAGGAATTTTACGTCCCAAAATTGTAGATAATACAACCGGATCCATTAGAGTTCTATGAGTGCAAACAAATAGGACTCCAATGTTGCCATTCGAGACCGGCGGAGGTATTTGTCCTTTAACAATAACTTTACCACCAAAGATATAGGACATATAAGGTATAACCCTTAATGGAAGTAAGAGACCAATAATAATACGAATTGTTGCAAGTACGATGCCGAATGGAATCCATAAAATGATTAGTAGGGCAGTTGATGGGGTAGGGCGCTTCACAAGACGACCATCATGGAAGATAACAGGAAGTGGGTGAAGAAGACGATTGTCCTTGTCATCTTGGTTATTGGTGCTAGTGAATGGTGTAAGCATTTGCTCCTGTTAGTATGTATAAAAAAATTAATCAAGATGATCATTATTACAGTTGTTAACATAATCTTATAATGTCTAACATGTCGTACATGTATGTGCATGTAAATATATATATATATATATTTATATAGATATGTGGAGGCATACCTTGCACAGAGACAAGAATGAATTAGAGTTGGAAGAAGCTTTTGCCATCCCTAAATGGGGGTTTTTCATTGACAAACAATTTGGAGATTCTATTAGAGATTGAACTCATATCACTCTCAACGAAACCCGTGGCAAACCCAAATCGACTAACAACAAGTTCTGTTCCGACAACTTCATCCGCCCGCAAATGCTCCTTCGCAAACCTCTCCACCATGATTCTTGGCATCTTGGTAACCACAACCCTCTTGTCATACGAGCTAAACACCTTCCAAGCTTTCATGTCAATCTCATCCATGAAAAATTTAGGCAGCACTGCTCTCGCCACAGACTCAATTTCTAGCTCGCCAATGCCGAAAGTAGCAACAAAAATCATCACGTTAAAACCAACATCACCAGCTCCAACCATGTCAAGCAAGCGAATAATCGGCCAGAGAATCAAAAGAACCGCAAATCGAATCAAACCGGAAGCCTCGAAGGCTAATAACATGAAGTAGGAAAACGGGTCTGGATCTTTCAATAAGGTTCCTTCAAGTTCCGAGATAACAGACTCCATTGAAGCTGGTTTTCTTTAATGTATACAAGATCAGTTTCTTTTAGGGTTCTTCTCTTTGTGGTGGAAATGTATATATTAGGAAATATAACGTTAAGCGGCAGGATATTTGGGTTTGGATTGACCAGTGTGTAATGAGAGAATGAGGCAGCTTATCGGTCTACAACTACCCTGTTAACATATATATATATATATATATATATATATTTCTGATATGGTTGCTTTGTCTTTTTTGTGTGTGTAGAAGTGTGTTTTGCAGGTGGATATATCTGCGGGGAAAATTGGGTATACGCCAAGTTGATATATATAAATGTATATATGTTGGTGCGTACGTGTTTGTATATAGAAATTGTAAAGATCGATTACTTAACCCCACCAACTTTGTCTCGATATGGACCCTTTTGTACGTAGTGTATTAGGTCAAATATATTTTGCTCAAGAAGGCGACTAAGCCGTAATTAGGTTACTGACCAATAGGTTACTTGACCCGTATGTGAAGTTATATATATATATATATGTATATAATTATTTAAAAAGTTACATGACAAACATTCACAGCTTCCACGTTTTTGCATGCATGGGAAGCTGACTTGTCCTTGATTTCTTTTTTTTTTTTTTTTTTACTTTTTAACATAAAATTAGTACTGTTAACAACAAAATGTGATAATATTATACATTTTTAATGACAAATAGATAATAACATTATTAGGAAACAAAAAAAAAAGTTCAAATGCCAAAATTTTTATATAAAGTATCAACCTATTAATTAATTAACTAATACATACCTATAAAATTTATATATTTCATTAATTAATCAATCCTTTTACGTCAATATTAATTCGATAAAAATAATAATACAATGAGTTTTCATACAAAATATGTGGAAACATTATATAATTCAAATCTGTAATTTTATAAAAAATTATAAAATTAACAAAATTTCAATAGAAAAAATGATTTTCACTGACTTATTTGTTTTGGTGTAGAGAGAAAAAGCTTTTTCTCCCGATTAATATGTCATTCATGAAATCACTTTCTTAGCTGTTTTTGCACTTTTCTTCTGCGTGCGACATAATTTCACTGCTTCAATTTTCTTATATATACGTACGTACATATATGTTAATTTGAAAAAGATACACATACATAGATCATAGTTAACAATATATGTGAATTTATCCAATCTTTGACTTTGTTTATACATAATCACATCAAATTAGTATTCATATACATGTTGCCACACGTCTTAATTAATTACCAACTAAAAGTTAATTATGGTAATCTGATTAATGGGTCAATTCAAGATTCAAAACTAAAAGATAATTACTGAAGTAAATTATTTTTAGTATTTTTAAAATTTAAATATGAAAAAAAAAATCAATTTGAACTATTAAAGAATATTTCTAATAATGGTAATGTTAATTTATATACAGCTTAGAAACGTAACAATTTTGGCTACTTGATCTCTTTTGCTAAACCGATAATTAAGTTTGGTTAAGTTATTAATTAATACTTTTTTTTATGAATTAATTTTTATTTCTTATATTTTCTGTTAAAAAATTATTCCAAGAGTTTGGTAAGGTTGGTTTGAAATATATAACAAAAGTTGTGGAATATAATTTTTCCAATTGAATTTGTTAAGTTTATCCAAAAGATATTACGGGCAACTGTTATGGCAGCTAATTTTATTTTACTAATTATAACACCAGCGTATTTAACTTAATTCATATATATGTTTCTAATTACTAATTTAATAATTAATATAATAATTATTTTATTTTATTAATTACTAATTATTATATATATTGTATTCTAATATCATAGAAACGTTTAAAATATCTATTGATTAAATATATGTATGAATTATAAAAAAATATTAAGATTTATTTGGCAAAACGTCGTGATGTTTATGTACAAATGTACTATAGGTATGATATGATCTAATTCATTAGTGTCAATGATCCATAAAATAATTAGACGTTTACCTAATTTTACTGCATCAGTATAAAGAGATACTAGAAACTCTAGATATAGTGGGTTCTTGTGAAGAAGCAAGAGGTGATTGTATCATGAGGATCGACGGTTGGTTATGCTAAAGCAATGCCATGAGATGAGTGTATTGATCGTGTTGAAACATGTTATTTGTTTATGCTGGTTTGTCCAGATGGTCTAAGAGAAGATATTTGATTGATGTTTTATTATTTAATTTTCTATGAGGCTTCTGTCATTTCGAGTACACTCGAAACTTGTAACAATCCTTCACACTATACCCAAGCATATTGCAATTGGGGCATAGAGGCTTATTAGGGTTTGTCTTAAAATATCACTATAAAGAATGTCTTATCATTTTGCAATAAGAACAATAGTATTTTTCACAATTTATATTGATGTTATCGCTAGTTTTGTTTGTTATCCTAATACAGAATGTCGAACTCTATTTATTACAATGTCTAATGAAATTTTTCTGTCTTATTGAATAATTAAATATATCTTATTCATATTTAAAAAAAATTATCAATAGCATTTAAATTTTAATGGCTTTATATAACTTGTTTAGACTTATAAAAAACTTCATTACATAATCTTTTTGTTGATACTCAACAATAGTTTTTAATCTTCCACAAGTTTAATTCGATATTGATTCATAGGTCATCAATTTATTGAACAAAGCTTTTAGTTTTGAGAAATAATCAATTGTAAGGTTTTGGTTTTGCATGAGGTTCGCTATTAGTTATTTTACCCCATAAATCTTGGTCAATCTGTTGTGTATGCCCTTCCTCCTACTTGATCCACAATTGATGTCGGTGTCTACATAAAAGGTGTTACGTTTTATGTCAATGCAGTTTGAATTTAGAGGATAACAATGTCATTGCATCACAAACAATATCTAATAAGAGGATTGGCTGGATCCATCAGTTCCTTTAGGTTTCTATCTACAAACTTCACTTTTTTTTTTCTTTAATTCTCAACAAACACTATAGATCTCGTTCGTGCATTAATTGCTCACTTATAATAATTGAGTAACTAGTCGTTAGAGCTTTCGTTTGCATTGGTGTAGTATGAATTACTCGAATTGAAAAGATTTATAATGATTCTATTTATACACGCACAAAACAAACGTCATTGAATGGGTCATGTAACCGATTTCTTTATCATTCGTGGTCTCGAGTAGATAGAAAAGATTCATTAATAATAATAGAATCCAAAAACAATATATGTTATTAGTGATATTAGAGTTAAAAAAAAGAAATATAGAAATTGATTTGATAACTAATTAATCTGCGCATGATTGACATATGTAATATGGATGAAAAATGATTAATTATTTTTTTAAATTATAACATAAATATATTTAAAAAAATTCAATAATTTCTTTTGACACACATTCAGATTGTAAAAATTTCATATTTGATCTCATAAAATTAATTTTTTTAAAAAAATTAATGCTTCAGACTTAAGAAGTTGGACGAACGATATTTAAGTTTAATATATCATATCGCTTTAATTATTCAACGTGTTTATGATTGAAAAAAAAATTCATTTATGATTGACTAACAAGATTAGTAACTCTAGTCAAGTTTTCGGTTAATGAACTCATTATTGATTCTAAAAAGATTAGTAATTTTAATCAATTGTTATTTAGTTGAATAATTAAAAATTATTTATGTCATATTATATTAATATATATTAATTTATTAATGAATATATATATTTTTATTTTAAGAAATTAAATAACTTTAGCTAAATTTTGAGTTGTGGAGACAGCTTTTACATACTGATATTAAATATCTTGTTTCATAATTTTATAGTTGCAATCTTCAAAGTACGATTAAAAACAAAAAAGAGGGTTTTTTAAAAAAAAAAATCCTTACAAAAATGGAGCCCAAGAAGATGTAAAAACCAGATGGGTCTCTGAATCAATTTCTAAAACAGACCCATTAATGGCAGGACTCAATATCATTTATATATGTCATGTGAGGCCCAAGATGAGTCATTTTGTTCTTCCGTGTAGAGAGCGAAAAGGTTATCGTCATTAATTAGATTCAATGTGAAGTTGCCCAGAATGTCATAACGTAATTAACCAGGAAACTGAAGAAATTAAAGAGAAGCAATACTATTAACGGGGTAAGTGACTATCAAGAACATTTCACAGATTTGCTTCCGTCTTTGCATTCGACGAGTCTAATTTCAGTGATCTTATGATCTCAATAATGTTTACGGCGTAGTTACATTCGTGTGTATATTAAGGATGACGATGTTTGGTTGCCAATTTGATGAATGTCACCTGTTCCTCTGTTTTTTGCCAAAATTTCTCTGCTCGAGTACGTTAAACGCTGTTATCTTGGTCTCTGTCTGTATTTCTCCTGTAGTTTTTAAATAATTTGAGTCGAGATTGAACCAGTTTAGTAATTGATTGATATGTGGGAAACATTTTGTTGGCTTAGTTACAGACTAGGGCTATAAAAGAGCGAAGAAATATCTGCATTAATATATAAGTCAGAATTCTCTCTGTAATCTCCTTTATCTGCTTCTTTTCTCTCTCTTTCTGGAATCTCTCCGTCTGCTATTTCCCTTTTCTCTTCTGTTTTCGAACTTCCTGCATCATTGGTACCATAGCGGGCCTTTTGATAGAATGGTGGTTTCTGAAAACAAGTTAGTAATTCAGCGAAAAAATGGGAGCAAGGAATGAGTTAACTGAAGCAGATGTTTTCAGAACCCCCAGTACGAGCCTGTTACCACAGGAAGGATATTTAGGGAACAACTCAAATGAAAGATATAAATATTTGCAAGAAAATCTGTCAAAATCACATGTACCTTAAGAAAATCCATCAGCGCCTTTGGAGTAAGTGACTGCCACCAGCTTGGGGCCAATGATGATCAAGATCGTTGGGAGTGTGCAAGAAGCTGTTGATATAAAGAGGGTACTCAAATTGGATATTGGACCAAATCTTGACCCCCTTATTAATCTGCAAATAGTCTGATTACAAATACTGGCAGAGGCTCAAGAAATTCAGGGTTGGTGAAGGCTTCAAGCAAGCAATTTCAATCAAGATTTTTCTCACTAGTACAGCTTGATTGGAATCCTTATAAGGATGTCTAGTTATATACAAACTTTATCTAAATAAATCATCTAGCAAGCTATACAGATCCAGGTTTTGATGAGTACAACATAACAGAAAATAAAAAATCAGATGCTAGTTGGGATAGAAACTTATAATTAGACTAATAAGACCATTTTGATTCATTATCTGCCATGAGGACAAGGTTACATTTAAGGAAGAGTATTTATATATGGAAACAGTTAGTTGGATAGTTAATTAGCTTAGTTAAAGACTAGGGCTATCAAAGAGGAACGAACCATCTTGTAATGGCATTAATCAATGGAATCAGAGCTCTTTCTGCTATTTTCTCTGTGTTAAATCTCTCTCTTTCTGAATTCTCTCTGTCGTGTCTCTCTCTGCTATTATCCCTTTCTCTTCTGTCTTCAATCTTTATGATATTACCATTCTATTTTTGTTACCTGACCATCTGTTCAAGGAACTGCCACTAAAGGTGCTAGATTTCCTTTTTTCAGCAACTTGTGTAGATCCATTGAGGCATGCTTGCAGTGCCTTTTACTTGCATCTCTGCTAGTTCCATGTATCCCATCTCTATAGCAGCCGGAGGTAGTGAATGTATTGTGAATTCTGAACATGGTTCTTATAATTTCCTGAGTATGATTTTGTTCACATGAATTGTTTGAGACGTCCTTCTGCAGATAAGGCATGTTCCAGGCCTTGTGGTTTTTAAATGTTTGAGATAGAAGCACTGAAACTTTTGGAAGGATTTTGGTCTGTTTTAGGTATGGTTGAAATGCATCATTGAATCACGTTTGGTTGCGATGCCAAAGTTAAAGATAGTATTGCAATACCGGTTGTATTTGGAAACCGTGCATAATGGACCAGTAACTATTTTAGAATGGGCAAAGTACAGCTTCAAATTCTGTGCTTTCTTTTCTTTTTTTTTTTGACAATTTAATTCTTTTTTTTTTCATTTATTAATAAACCAAACTCTGCAGGCTAAACTAGCATAAGGGGCATACAAATTGGTGAAATGTAAAAAATTGAGGGGAAAATATGATTCTGTTCTAGCTATCTTCTTCTCTTATTCTTGATGCTTAATCTTATTGCAAAAGTTATTGTCATAACTTTCTCAGTTTCATAGGGTTTTGACATTCTTCTCCTTTGGGAACATGGTTTATGTGTTTCCTTTGTAAAGTTGCTTCCAATTTTTGGATTATTTATCAAAGCAAAACAAATTATGGTGCCTGTATCAACTATTTTGATTCGATGTTTGCCTGTTTGAGTAAACAGTTTCTTGGTGTCCGAATGAAATTATGAACCAGCTAAATTGGTCCTTTTAACTTTTAACTTTCTGCTACTTCCAAAAAAACTTCTAGCTTTCTGCTACTATATATTATGTAATGCATTCGTTCATTAAAATATTTCTTTTGTATATTTTCGAAGCTGGATATGTTATTGTCTATCTCAGGCCCCCATCAGTTTGTTGTGCATAAACTTTCTTGTCATATTTCTTTGCTGGTTTTATCATCGAGCATTTGTGACTGAAAAATATGTTATCGATCTCTATCTCAAGCCTAGGAAGTGTTTCTGAATTTCAAGTAGTGTGTCAATGATCGATAGGATGGCTCAAGTAGTTAAGTTAGAAATCTCAATATTGTCAGCAGAAAGCATTTGTCTGAGTCATCAGATTTAGAATGACATAAATGAGTTTGTGACTGTCCCATGTTTTTTGTCTTTAGTTGTGCAGCCTGGTGTTACTGGTATCATTAATATGGTTAAGCTTGGTTATCATAGTTAGTGTGTTCATTCAGCACTCTATTTTTGCAAACATTCTGCACTCCTCTTTGCTCTTTTTGGGTGAAAATTCATTACCCTCGTACTTCCTCCTAAATTTGCATTGTAGATTTCTTTGTTTATTTAGTTTTTCTTTTTTTTTCTTCTTTCTTTTGTTGATGAAAGTCATTTTGCTTTTTTTTAAAAATTCTGTTCATGTTGTTTAAGGCCGTGTTTGGGACAAATTATTTTGTGGAATCCATTTGGAATTGAAACATGTCGACCTGAAACAGGGAATTCTCAATTCAATCAAAATTGATAAAATTCTGGATATATTTTGAAGTTCCACGTGAAATTCATTGAAACACAGATTTATCATCTTCTAATGAAATTTTTACCACTTTCTAATTGAACAAAGTTTAAATTTCCAAATAAATTCTTAAATTTTGTTGATTAGTTCCAAAGAATAAATTTTCGTTTTTTCATTTGCACCCTCTCTTGAAACTTACGTCTTTTTCCTTGACTTCCTGTTGTCTGCACTGCAGTAGGGTGGCTTGTAAAAGAATTTCTTGTGGCCGGCACCTGATCTGCAGAACGCGTATCATTGCTTTGTAACCTTTTGAAAGATGCAATGGGGGCTTCCAATGGCCCAAGGCTTTCAGGGATGCAAAGGCAAGTTCTTAGTCTGTATAGGGAATTTTTGAGAGCTGCACGTTCCAAATCTGCTGAAGATAGGCAACACATTGAATCAATTGTATCAGCTGAGTTCCGCCGCAATTCCAAACAAGTGGATCGAAAAAATTTTCTCTACATTGAGTACTTACTACGCCGAGGTAAGAAACAGCTGGATCAGCTTAAAAGCCCTGATACTATCAGATTGTCATCATTGAATGTCGGTTTGTCTCAACCTAAAGATCCTAACCAAGGAACCTAGTGAACATTTTTTATTAATTTCTAAATTGAATTTTATCTGATCCATTTTCTGAAGAAGTCATTGAAGGATATGGGATCATTCATCTGTTTTTCTGGTACTAGAGTTAAATTGATATTGGAACCTCTAAATCTTGCAATTTGTCAGTTGATTGTCCTCTTCAAAGGATAATGAATGCTAGAATACTGGTTGAGGCAATGACCTCTAGAGTGTATTGATATTGGAAAACACAGAACTGTTCATCTGTATTTCTTGATTAAAATTAAGTCTGATCTTGGAACAGTAAAATTAAGAGTAGAAGAGAACGGATTATAATGCTCCTATCTCAACCTAAGAAGTGGAGCTAGAGTTGAGAGTGGATAAAACTTGATGGAAACCATCGAACCACTGAAACAAACAGACAGTTCTGGGCTGATCCTTTTGTATATGCTGATTATCAGTTATATGATGGAATGAATTAGTTGCATAAATTGATGAAATTCTTGATTATAAAAGATACGGCATTAACTGCATTGATTGTACTAGTTAAGAGGTTACCCTAAAGAGAGGCAGATGCAGATTGAAAGTTGATCTGTGGGTGATGTTTGTAAAAGAATCCTTTCGTTAGTTTTTAACAATAATATTTTCACACAAGGTGTTTGCCACCAAAAACTCGTTTTGGGAAATGAATATCTTAATAGGGTATCTTCATTTACTCTATTGTAAAGAACACATACAGTCTGCACATGAGTCCCTGTCTTGTTATGTTCTCTTTTCATGTTGTGCTTTTGTCTTCCCTTTTGGAGAATGTGCTGATAGTGATCCTCAGCATTGTAGTAGTAATGTTGCAGTAGTAATCATCGTATGACCAGCAGCGAGAGTATTTTTCTAGCGGATGATATGTTAGCTAAAGTTTTGAACCAGGAATTATTTCCTGTTATGCTCTGCTGTATGTGCACAGATAATTATTTGGTTTTTTGAATAAGTATTTATTATTCTGGGACATTTGTTTTCTCCTTAGAGAAAAGAAGATAGAGAAGTAAATTGCATAAGTTGCATACCTAGATTATTATAGGCAGAGACTCTGCAAGCATAATCTTTTATATGTCTTCATATTCTTTTACATAGGAGGTAGAAGAAATTATATGGTGCCTCAGAGGCATCTTTGGAATATTATTTCAAAATAGAAAATTACTGAGAAGCTATCCTAGGAGGTAAGTATTTTATACAATAGGATGCAACTCCTTTTAAATCTTTCCAATACAGGAGTGAGTGATATTCAACCGTATAACATTTTGTTCAAATCATATAATAACTGTTAGGCTAGCTAGCACATACAATCTCTTTTTATATTCTAACCCCGTACTTTATAAATGATTTATCTCCTTACACTTTGGAATACTGATTAAGGGATTTGTTAACTGATTTTTCGGTATGAAAATAAGAGAATATCTTGAGGATTATACATACTACCACAAATTTTCTCCTCCCAGTTATTCCAGAAGAACACAGATGTTACTTTTTTCTCTGACCCGTTCTTGATTTTCAGTGTAGTTTAACTGAAAGGTGCAGATGACGTCGTCTTCATGAGCTAGAACTTGTAAGTTGTCACTATGGGGTTTCAAAGCATCATGCGTTTCAGTAATTGTTATACATTTCATAATAATTTCTCACTTAGAAGAATCATATAGTAGTCAAATAACTATGAAGTCTTAAGTGATTGCTATAAGAAAAAGTTATTGAATTACTATAAGATGTTAAGAAATTACTGCAAAAGCAAAATGTGGTTTTGCCAATGTAGAGTTCTTGATTATATTATTATTTGAAACCAAACAGTCTCACGTGCATAGAGAATAATCTTTTATCATATGCCTGCTTCTAAAACATGAAGATGTAAGCAAAGCTGACATTTTATAAGAAAAAGTGGATAAAGATAAACATGGTTTTGTGGACTTGTTGTATAGAAACAGTGATTTGTAGACAGGAGAAAGTAAGAGGCCCACTTTCCTGTTATTGCTCCCATCCGTTCATTGATTTTGATAGTTGCGCTAACGTTTACCCTCTGGCTCTCTCGGTTAGTTCTCTAACTGGGTTTCTATCTTAAGGTTTAGTTGTTGATTAAACAGCGAATACAGGGAGTTTTA